ACACTCTTTCTCCAAAACAAATTTCAGCTCAGAAATTGTTCGAGACACCCATTCTGATATTCTTACCCCCTAAGCAGAAATCAACCACCAAAACCAGTAATACGCTAAAAATACTATCAGCTGATTAGGCAGATAATCCACATTAAAAACCAGTAAAACGCAGAAACAGTTAAAAGAATAATATTTTTAAAGAACTTGTTTAAACTAGAAACAGAAGTAAGGTACCTGGAAACTTGTTGACTTGACCTGAGAATATATCATTATCATGAAACGATACCCCATGCCAATAGATATCGCACGGCAAGCGTCTGCCAAAAGGAAACTGGAAAAGAGATAGGAGACGAGTTTTGAAGCAAACTGGCAATATCCATTCATTCCTTGCTTTTCCAAATGCTCATATTAAGCATAAACCATTCAAGAACAGTCTTCTGGCTGTCAAAAGAAATATGCTCTATATTTTGGTTGCAAAACTAAGAATATTTTGATCAGTTCAAGATGTTAACAAACCGTGAAAGGTTTCTAGAAACTAAAAACAAAGGACTGAGAGGCATGATGTGTACTGAGAAACTCCGAGCATGTTATCAACCACAATTAAGGCATGACTCATTTCTAATTTAAAATACTATTACAGGGAATAAAATTTCATTAAGCAGCACTTAATTGCGGCACACGAAGGCACAGCAATGGCAAGGGCTACAGCTGGGAAGTATACAAACTCTGACAATGTTTTGGGCTTTTTGTCCTCCCCAGTTTAAGGGGTGACAAGCAACCATCAAGGGAAAAAACCACTAGAGGTCATGGAGGAATTGTCATTATTGGCAATTACTAAATCAATTCCTATTCTTAAAAAGATCGCCATTTAATGCCGAGAGTCTCACGGCTTATATTTGTGCTCCCCCTCTGCAGCTTGGTAACCCAAGTCCCCTTCCCAGATTGCACCCGTACTCGTGGCGGCCCTTTACCTCCCAAACCATGCGGCATCTCCACGTACTCCCAGTCTAGCACGAGCAGGAAACGCTTCTGCTCCCTGGAACTCTATTTCAGGGAATACACGTAGCTAGCAATATTGTTGTACATTAATAGGAAGTCGTAACTGCAAAGCACGTGCTGAGCAAGCTGATTTACACTGGTGTCCAAGCTACAATAAATTTTAAATGGATATTCAAAGCAAGATGTTTAAATGAAATAGCTATATTATTAATTTATAAATATTCAGTTATATGTATTAATTTATACAGTATTAATTCCTTTCTTGTACTAATAGCCTGTAAAGCTTACAATTTAATTAATCGTTTGTTGAGCATATATATTTCAAATATTAAGGACTAAGACAATTATTTCAACAATATTAAGTATTCCAATAACTTAAGAGCTTCTTTTCCCATTCATACAAGATTTCACCATAAAGTGGAAAACTGTAGAGTTAATTTTCTGCCATAAAAAAGATCAACCTCTTCTTAAGCTGTCTGAAGAACTCTGAAACAGCACTGCCAACTACCAATAGCAAGTTTCTAATAGTAAAGTGATTTGAAAAAAAAAAGCTACCAGCACCAAGAACAAGAGCCCCATGAATTAGCAGTATTGACAATCCAAAGCAAAAAAATTACTAAGATAAAACATTTATATTCCCCGTTATAATAAGTTTTGCGCAAAAAGGTACTCTTCCACGCTCATTCTCTTAGACACAGCCCCATTTATCAATCCAAAAAAAAAACATTTTATCTGCCACTCCATGTAGATGCCTTTTAAACACCATATGGAATACATTCACTGGAATATGTTCTATTATTAGGTTACATCTTTTTCAAACAAATATGCTATATTTCTGACCACAACATTTTTAGGACATATTTGTATTAAGTATCTAACATCCTCATCACCCAACAACTTCAGTACCATTTATTTATTGAAAGAACCACAGGATTTTGCGGAAACTACTTGTTCTTTACTCTAAATGTAATTTTTCTTGCTTTAAAGCATGTCTTTAAGCACTGGATTTTTTTTTCAATATGACAGAAAAAAAGAATCTCATAAAGCTTTTGAGTGAATTACTTGATTTGCTTTTTTAATTAAAATTTCAGTTTCCTCAGTAAATAGCCTTGAAAAATTAATTTAAAATGCTAATTGAGCAATGCATCCTTTCTGTGTTTCCTTACTTATAGGGATGAGACACTGAATTTAACAGAGCCAGTGGATTCTTCACTTATTTCATTATTATTCAGTCTGCAAAATCTGTTTTTGTACAAGTGAAAATTAATTCTGTTAAGCTCTGAAAGACAATCAGTGGCCTTAACCTCTCTCCACAGGTATATCCAGAATACAGATGCGCCCTTCCCACTAAAACCTGAACAATTTATTTATTTATTAAATGAAATTGAAATGAAAGGAATGAAATTTGCATTTATATAACACCTTTCATCTACAGAGGATATCAAAGCGCTTTACAAACACCGCACAGAAGTCATTTCACAACAGATGAAGAGCGAGCACCTCTCAACCAGAAAATGGAAGCACTGCACCCCCGCATCAGCAATTCAGATGGCACAGCAACTTCCCTACTCCTGAGAAATCAAGATTATTTGAGTTTATCCAACAATGGGATCAAACTCGCCTCCTGAATGAGCTGGGAAGGATTCTTTATTGTCCGCGTTATACTTTTACATAAGAATAGTGTTTGGAAAGGAACAAACAAGTTCGATTACTTGGCTCCCTCTGGCAGTGCCAGGCAGATATAAATTAATCTTACTGTGGTAGAAGACCCTTTTCCACCACCTCCCCAGCTCCTGGTGCCAGGGACTAGCTAAAAAGAAAGGTGGGTGCTTGAAGCAGTCCTCCATTCTCATAAGAGCTTCTGTCTACGGCTCCCTGGTCTCAGCTGGAATATCCTCAGATCCGCACTAACTGATGCCAAAGCCAAGGTGCTGACAGCCCGGGGCCCTGAGGTGCTCACAGCCGCGGGGTGACGGAGGTTGTAAGCATGACTGGAGCCGTCCTTGCTGCTGTGCTCATCCTGCGCAGAAAACCCAAGAGTCTGGTCCTCAGGTCGGTCACTGCAAACAACTTACAGGTTGCAATCAATTCATGAACTCTTCAAAGAATTTATTTAAAATCTTTTTTATTCAGAGCTGGGGGGCATTTGTCAGAACAATTAAAAAAAGCCACAAAGAGAATAGACTTGTTTTTACAACTTTGATACGATTAATAATCAACCACAGTCAAACTGGTCTGACAGGTCATTCCTACCTTTTGATTGGAAGCCAATAATTTAAATTGTCTCACAGGTCACATCAGTCTGTTCCATCATGTTTAATGACACGTTAAATGACTCTTGTCTTCTAGTCAGCTTTTCCCAGCGTAAAATTTCAAACTATTTCTACGCCTCCATGCAGCTACTGAACAGTGAGACAAATGAAACGCTTAATGTTGGGATATTTGATGTCTGAGACATCTGCTTCTTCTATTTTCCTGGTAATTGAAAGCTAGCCGAAGAAATAATTTATTAAGTAGTGAATAAACTCAGGATGCCAGCTCAATTTGTGCCCATTATTTCATTTGGCATATCATGTTCATTTAAAGAATCTGACACACTAAATCAGATAGTCCAATCTAGTGATGGGAGTAATTGCTTCACTGGCATGCACATTAAAATTCTGCAATGCTTTTTAAAAGGTCCACCCCTGTGCGTTACCCCAGACAGGGCTATCATGGTTGTTAATTTAATTTACTCAAAACTCCCACAGCTGAAAAAAAAAGTTTTCTGTCTTTTGCTTCCAATAACAGAATTTCAAGTCAAATTCCTCTCCCTTGAACTCTTTCACCTCTTCCTCATGTATCAGTGCCATAAAATAAACTGCTCACCAATATTAGCCACGTTTATTCCCTCTTTTTTTGTCTTATAGTGGCATTTACCATATGTTAGTTTACTAAAATGAACTACTACCATGTGGACAACTCTGTTCACACAGTGCATTATGTCTTATTTCTGCAAATTATCAGGGAGCATATTGCAATAATAGATTATTACTGAAACAAAGCTCTTCCAGCAAGTCAGGGTAACTACACCAAGGAGATGTCAGAATGTACAACTTAAAACAAAAAGTAAACCAAAACAAAAGCCTATATGACACTGCAATAATGCTATCCATTAGATAGAAAAAGTTATCAATAAAAAGAAGCCCACTTTAAAAAGCCTATTATAATGTCTCCTGCCCAATGCCCAACAACATATTCAAGCCAACACATCCAGCAGCAAACACAGAACAGAAACAAAACAAAAGCAGCAATGGGAAAAAACATAAAAGAAGTAGTAAGGGAGAAGAAGGATCAAATCAAATCTAAATCAACTAAATCAAAGCCCAAGATGCAATTGCCTTGAAAAGTATTATACAAGGGATGACAATAGAATACCAGACCCTGAAACATCACTATTTAAAATATACACATTTCATTACAACTTCTAAGATGTTTTTTGCATTATTTTTACGGATCCTACAAGAAACAACATATGTGTTCCCTCTGCCAGTCCTGCTGTAACAGTGAAACTATTTCCAAGGCTCTTTGGCCATCAGTGATAGTTGTTTGAACAGATACTTTAGTGCCATTTTTCTAAACAGTTGAAAGTGAGAGCTTTCAAAATTATATGCAACTTGAATAAAAGAGTTTTTCTTGGACTTCTCTTCTTAATGTTGTTTATTCTTCTCCTCAAATCTAGACAAGATCTTGCCTACAGATCCCCTGTGTCTACAGAAGTCTGCTAGCTTGAAGTCAACAGTTTGTCTTACTCCCATCCTGGAAGACTCATCTGCTTCTTTTCCCCAATGTAAACAGAACTAGTTAAGAGTCATAGTTAATATTGATTCCCCTTTCATTACTCTTTCCACTTTTGGGGGGATGGAATGCAAAAAAAACCCCACCCATAAAATTGATTTAAACACATATACATGGATAAGAGAAAATACTTTCTTAACAAAAGATGTTACATTCATACATATTAACCTCTTTATTGTAATAAACAGAAAAGTTTACAGAAGTACATTACAGTGACTTGCTTACAAGGAATTAATTACTAGCCACCTAGATGGTACAGTCAAATGGCACAAAGTTCTGTATTTGGTCTCTTCTTTATTAAGAGTACGAAGTGGCCAGAAGGGGAAGCAACAGACTAAAATACTGAATGAACTAATGCATGGAGGAGAAAGGATATTGAGGGAGACAGTAAACCAAGAAAGATGAAGTAAAGCCAAAAGCGATTGCTGTTGTGGGATGCAGAGCAGGAAGGAGAATGCTGATAGTGCAGCACAAATATTCATGAGAGGAACAGGAGCATGAAACAAGTCACTATGTAGGACAGAATACCAAGTGCAGAGAGTCCAGGGCATAAGATAAGCAAAACAGTAAAAGCTCAGGAAACAGAAAAGACAAAATTAACCACTAAATATGGCTCATTACCAACATAATCTGTGAGGCTAACTGAAATCAGTAATTCAGAAACACTCACTAGAGTGGCATCAGGCACTCTAAACATAAAATTTAGCCATAAGAACAAAGAAATTAAGTGTGAAGTCCCCCTTGCTCTGTACGTTACCGAGTAAAACACGGAGCAAGGCTGCTGACAGACACTCCACAGGTGCACTGAGGGGTGAAAGAAGTAAGTGCAAGAGGTTTAATTTCACACCTCCGGTATTTCATTACTATTTTGCCATAAAAGCAGGAGTTAAGAATTGGAGCTTTTGTGCAATGAGATTTTGAAATCCTCCCACTGGATTTAAATAATAAAAATCTTGAAATAAAATTTTATGAAGACAGAGAATGAGAAGGCATTACTCTTCCTGGCAAGAAGTATATACGTCTTTGTGATATTAGGCATTTAGGACATTATGAATAAACACGGGTAATATTTACTGCCACTCAATCCAGAAAATACTGTTGGTTCCAGAAAACAAATTTGTAACGTTTAACTCCAAGGTTAGGAACAACACAGA